TGGGAGATGCGTGGTACCGGTTGTGCCTCCTAGTCTGGAGGCGGCTGCTTTCTGCCTGAGGGTAGCTGCTTTTCCGTTGATTTTCTCGAGGTTTCGACTAAAGGCTTGTCAAGCAGCTGAACGAATGCACCACTGTCGCTCTCAATGAGACTATCAAGGGTTGTGCCAAGGGCTTGGATAGAGGTGTGCTGCTCATCCAGCTCTTCATGATGGCCTGACCGTATCCTCCCGGTTGTAGGGGAAGGATGGCTAGAAGTTTTGGGCTAGCCTGTTTCCTTGGTTCTCTAGCCTTCGAGGCCTTCCGTGATGGTTGAGGAGTCACTGTGGGTATTTAGAGTGACATGGTTGCTTTCTTTTTGCCAAGGAAGAGGTGTAGGCTGTACTTGGTGGAAACACTGATCCAGCCTTGTTGCAGTGCAATAAAGGCTGGCTCAACTGTAATCTGGATCCACAAAGATGACTCCAGGACCTTGCTATGGGCCTGGAAATTCAATCTAGGTGTAGTTGAATAAGTAGCCAGTGTAGAGGGTCTGGAACCTTCTTCCTGAATTGCTCTGGTGCTGGGAATTGCCTTGGTTTTGGTGAATTTGCCACTGGAAGCTAGCTTACTGGGATCAATGATCTCTCCCACAAAAGCTCCAAAATTCAAGGTGAGAACCCACTGACTAAATAAGGGTGCCGGTTCAATGGTACCACTTTCAGCCAAGCGAATTGCTCTCTTCGTCGTCTCGTGGCTCTGCGAGTTGCTCTCTTCGTGTTGCGAAGATTCACGTAAATCGGTTGAAATGTGAGGCGAATGCAGCTTACGGAGGCTGATCCTGCTTTGGTAGGGAATCTCGCACGAATAAGTGCAGAACCGGTACGGGAACGTTGTCGTATAAGTCGTCGGCGATCCAGGATCGAAAGAACTCTTTGACGTTCCCAGGACTGACTCAGGGCCATGTCAATAAGTACGAAACTGCACGGTCGTTTGATTGGCTGAGGGCTTCGATTGATTTCTTCAACGTTTCCGTGAAATCGCTGGGAATGTACAGGACGGAAACTGTGAAACTCAAAACTGCACGGAAAACTGAAGAGATAAGCCACTCAATTTTGAATAAATCCAATCGTGCTCCGTGGAAGCTTGCAACGTTCCGTGGAATCGATCAAAGGAATAAGCCCGAACTCAAAAGAGATAACGCGTTGTTGCTCTTGATAAACAGTCAAATTCCACGAGTTGTAAAAGGCTTGTCGATGGCCAAGATAGGTGCGAAAGCGATAAGTCTTTCGTTGACTCGGAGACTCCAGGTGTTCCTTCACGGTAGCTACCAGTGCTTCTTCTTTCGAGTGAATTGGGTGCTTTTCCTCTCTTCCGTGGAAGATGGTGTTGATGAGGTTGTTTGTGTAGTTCCTTCTAGATGACAATGATGTGGTGTTGGCTTTGTAGATGGTAGGTGGCCAACAAGAAGGTTCCTGTACTGTGGTGGTGGCTGGAGTTGAGGCCGGGCAGAAGCAGTAGGAGGTAGCAGATAGTACTGTTCCCAGACTGCCACTGCACGATTGAATAACGAAGGCTCCCAGCTCCTGAGGTGAGCTGGCCCAAAGGGTCCAGCAGAGAGCTCTGCTGGCCCTCCTGTCTGACTGACAGGACCAAGTCCTTGGTTTGGTGCCTACTGGAGGTGTTGGAATACTCCTGAGGCACGACAAGGCTCCCTGAACTGCCTGACTACCGCTGTCCCTGAGGAAGGGTTTCAGCGAGGTCCAGTCCACTACTTGGGTATTGGAACTGATCCTTCAAGAAACTTATTGTAACGGGTTTTGGTTTCCCTTTTTCTCGCTTGTTAAATCTAACATAGACGATAGGTTTGAGGTCTCTTGTCTTGCGACGTTTACGAGGTGGTTGGCCACGGACGAGGTTAACGATGCTAAATAGATCATCAGAGTCTAGTCGAGCAGCAATCTAATTTGCCGTAGAGTTCATCGGTTGCAAACAATTCTTGTTTACTAGTTAGTGAGATATCTTCATCACTTTGGTATGAGAAATCGGAACATGGTTCCGTTGAGTCATCATCCTGGCCTAATCCTCAGATAGAGATTTCTCCATCCAAGTGATTGAAATCGATAGAGGAGTTGTCCTCGTTATCAGAGTTTTCTGATTTGCGCTTGGCAACATGGTTGCGAAGTTTGCAGGTGGTTGCACGAGTATCGTCGATCTCGGTGTCTTCGTCATTGTCGACGAGAGGAAGAATGGGTTTGTCACGCAACTGTTTCTCGAAGTTGCTGAACGCATGCTTTCCTTGAGCCATCTTCATGGTGAAGGAATAGATTGAGGGTAGCTGAAAGCTATTGTGTTTGTTAACAAAATGCACTACGCTAAAAGCTAGTGTAAAGATCTTTCGAGTGTTTTGAGTTTGAGAGAATGAAAGTTATGAGAGAGATTAGAAAGCTATGAAAACTAATCAACGAGAGAGATCATCATCAAGGGATCGTAGATCTGGTCTCCCGCGGGAGACTATAAAGTGTGATACAGTAGGTTGCGGTAGTAATTCTACGTATCTCCACGATCATAAAACGGAACGCGTGGAAGGTTTGTCTAGCATGGATCTAGTAGCGTGGAAGTACTCCACGCTGGCTAAATATCTAGAGCGATGTTTCATCATCAACCTAGTATGACCAGAGCGGTCATTGAGAACCCTGTCTCAAATGACTATTCACGAGAGACTCAGTCATGAGTCGAACTCAAACCCTATCTAGGATCGAGTCGCGAATAAGGCTAAGAGCCGTGTATTGCAACAACAACAACAACAACAACAACAACAACAACAACAACAACAACAACAACAACACGCACAGTGGAGAGTGGATCCTTCTATTAGATTCATCCCTCCTTGTTATTTCCTAGTGTTTGGTGGTGATTCCTGTGTCGAGACCCATTTTCCTCGTGTGAAGAACAATTTTGCGGAGTATCTGTAAATCCAAGCAATCAGCAATGCTATTGGGTAGCCGCATCCACCTAATAGCTTCATGTATTGGGTATTGAAATGATGTGTAATTCATGTTCCCCGCCGGAGGCAATTGGTGGTATTAGATTAATAAATAATAGAGTCACTAGTACCTGTAATCACTATGGAGGGATTACCTACCGTTGTCAACCCTGGACCCAGACTGCTATTCCCTTCTTTGGCATCCCTAGACTTACCTGGGCTGTGTGGCTTTTGGCAACCCTGGAGCCAGACCAGTCGCTCCCTTAGGCATGCCTGGACCTCAGCCGACCCGAACCAATCCCTTAGGAAATCTAACCAGCATCTTGTGGGGTTGGTGGGGCACTAAAGGCAGAAAGGATTCAGGAGAGTTTGGATGTCTAGAGCTATACATATTTTGTTGTCAGTACATGTAGACCAAGCCAATCGTCACTGTATCAACACTGGAGGCAAAAAACAAACAAAACCTTTCAGCCGTTCGATCTTGTTTTGTTCCTTTAACTGCTGACGTGTACTCCAAGACCAATCGACTTTTCTTAGAAGCTTTTTTCTATACTTTCATTTATGACGTCAACAGCTTGTCAACCAAGGAAACCGTAGATTATTCGACTCACTCGATTCATCATTCGACTCTGATTCGATTCCATTCCATTCATCATCGAACAACAAAGTTCGCGAGGAAGCACGAAGTCGCGCCTGGGCACCGCAGGAAGATGGGAAAGTCCTATTATTAAATTGGATAAGATGTTTTGTTTATTTTGTTAAATCGGAGCAAAAAAGAGCAATTTTAGTAAACCACAAGAATTGTATTAATTTACAAAATACATCATTTTTCCATAAATTAGATTAGATTAGATTGTATTAGATTAAATTAGATTTGATAATATATTTCCTTTTTTTCAACATTTACTATAGCTAATAGTGTAAAAATCGCCATTTTTCTAAGATTAAGATTAGATTTGATTAGATTAGATTGGATTTGATTTGATTAAATGTTTATCGATTTTTAAAATGACTAGAGTAAAATCGAAATATTGCTGTTTCTGTAAATAACTTTTACACGAAAATCTGAATAGTTTTGGCGATTTCCAATCTTTTCTAGCTAGTCTTTTGATAGGACTTTCCCATCTTCCAGGATTTTTAAAACTCTTGCATTGAGCCAGATTTAGATGAAGAGGTGGATTTAGGAGTTTGGACGTTTGGACGTTTGGACCCAAGACACCACTTTGTGCGGAAGTAAAGTTGCCCGTTAGGAGGTGGAAGTGAGCATTCCAGCCGTCATTTCTTTGGCTCTGAGCCAGGCGCAACACAACACTGCACCCATGGTACCGGTACCGACCATCGTGGCATTGAAAGCCAAGTGGCAACAATGCGCTATTGCGAAAGTTGCTACTGTACGGTGCTGGAGAGGGAAGTCAACAGAGCAGTCACTAAAAATATAGGTCGCACTATTGGTCGTTCCCAAATAGATACCTATCTGGTCGACCCAAACGGCGACCTTTTTCATTCACTAAAATTGGGTCGCCATATCGGTCGACTGATACCTAATTGACCAATTCAATCACTAAAATTTCGGTTGCAACATAGGTCGCCGAAACGGTCGTTCGTTCCGTGGAAACTTTCGCTCGAGCTCATTTCGCTCACTCATCAGTGTGCTTTATTGATTGCTTTGGTTGCTTTGGTTGCTTTGGTTGCTTTGGTTTGACAATGAAGACTGCAGGAGCTAAGGGAAAGGGAGATGGCTTTGTGGAGAAGCACAACAAGGCCGCAGCAGACATCAGGAAGAAGCGTCAAGATGAATCTGCCGCATCAGTCAAGTCATCATCTGATGAAGAAGAAGAAGAAGAAGTAGAGGCAGTTTCTACACCTGCCAAGAGTACCAGGAGCCATAGCAAGAAGCGTGGCAAGGATTTTGACGAGGAAGAGGAGTCGGATGACGATTCTGACGAAGATGATGACGACGATGACGACGAAGATGACGATGACAACGTCGCAGGATACGGGCTTCAAGGCATGATCCTCCCTTCCCGCAATAATACTCTATGCCTGTTGCTATGCCTGTTGCTATGCCTGTTGATGAGGCTTTTGTGTGTTGATGTGGCTACAACCAAAACAGCGACCTGGTCGATCCACTGGTCGCAAAGTGACCTTGAATCGACCAGTGGAACGACCGGTCGATTTCGGTCGCAACCTAAACCTCGACCGAAATGAGTTAGTGACTGAATAGGTTTCGATTTGGGTTCCAGCTAAAAACCAATCGACCAATATTGGGTGCGACCTATTTTTTAGTGACTGCTCTCATGTGACATTGCCATAAAAGAGTAGAGGGAGAAAGCAATGCATGGTTTCTATTGAAATCCCACGCACATCTTAAAATAAAAGGACAAACCTCGACCGCTCGCTGCACCACGAGGACACTGCTACAAACGTATAACCGCGCGAGGGCCGACCATTTTGCGGAAGCGAAAGATCCACTAGGAGAAGCCACAACAGATCTCATTCTTTCTGCATAATTTCACTGGCTCCAAGCGGAGCTGAGTGACAACGATCATGGCATCTCTACAGGTGGCGAAGTTGAGACAAAGCGCTATTGCGATTTTAAGTTGCTAGAGGTGTAATGTGCTGCATCCATTCGCATCCGATGCCTCTCTTTTAACAGAACCCTTCGACCGCTCGCTTGCACCACTTCCTTGAGACACTGCTACAACCATGCAGAAAACTGATTACAACGAGGACAGATGATGATATTTACTCCTTCTTGCGCCAACCGGTAGCTTCGCTGACAATGTACTGATACTTCCTCTGATGTTCACGAATGACCAAGGGCATCTCCTCCTCGTGGATCTTCTCAAAACCGCGATCTTCCATCATCTCCTGGAGCACGTCCTTGGAGTAGATGGGGTCCTTCGAGACAGGATCGTAAAAGCCACCAAGCCACTTGGAGCGGGGAGTGAATTCAAGCAACCAGCTGAATGGAGTCACCATGACAACAACGCCGCCCTTGTTGACAATGCAAGGCAATCCATCGATGCAAGCCATGGGATCAGGCAGGCGGCAGAGGAGATTGGACATGACAACACCATCATACGTGGCAATCTGCCCTGTGGCGTTCATTTCGGCAATCCTTTGCGCATCGCCAGCGAAAAAGTTGACCTTGGACAGGACATCCGGAGTGACACCATCATCATGAACTGCCTTGACTTGTTCAAACAACTCGGCCTCCACGGGAACATTGAATGCAATGTCTTCCTGGGCAATATTCTGCATGCGCTTGGCGCCATTGACAAAAGACTCGCTAAAGTCAAAAGCATCGACGCGATCAAAGGTCTTGGCCAACTCAAAGGAAGCACCTCCAACGGCACAGCCAATATCCAAAGCACTATTGTTGCTGCGCTCTGGTTCCAGGGACTTTAAAAGCCTGGCAACACGTTGGGGAAAGAAGAGTCCGTGACTGGGAGCACCACTGTGGGGAAGGATAGGCGCAACGCCTTCCGCTTCACCAGACTTGGGATAGTGCAAACCAAGGTACATGTGCAAGCTGGTATCCGTCTCATAGACATTGTCAGAATCTTGCTGTTCCGAGGGTGGCTGCTGAGTTGCTGCGGCGGCTGCTGCTACCTGACCACCAAAGTTTCCTGCGAACAAGTGTGTGGCAGGGGCGGGGTCGTCCGAAGCCACCAGACGGAATCCCGAGTGTTGCAAAAAGTGAGGACGGAAGTGAAACCTGGCAAAGGTAGACGCCTCGTCGCCAGTGCTCATGAAGGATCCGCCCACAATCATGGAATGCTTTCCATCGAAGCAAGGGGTCGAGAAATCGTCGTAGACATGATGAACTTCGAATCCCTTCAAAGGGTTGAAGTGGTCCTCGGTCCATTCCCAGGCACTTCCTGTGGTATCACGGTGTCCAGTTTGGGAAGGAGGGAAAAAATCCACGGGGTTCTGAGACGAGTAAGCCAAGTTTAGGTTTGTGGCTGTCTCTCCCTTGGCAAAATCTTTGCCGGATGTGACCATCACCTTGTCAGCGCCCGCGTCCTTGCGAGCAGCCTCGAGACCATGGTCACGGTGACGAATCAAGTGGTGCTCGGCCTCAGTGAGGATGCGGTAGGGGCGAGAAGTTGGCGATCCATCCTTCTCAGTCTACGTTGCGGTGACAGACAACAATAAAAGCACTTAGATCCGATTCGATTCAATTCGGTTCCAGGAACCAAACAATCTTCTCAGGAGAACGTACCTTCCACCGGCAGTAAGCTTGGGCCTCGTAATAGTTAACATCCACAGGCCAGTCCCATGGCATGCTAACAATGTCAAAAATGGTACGAAGATTGAATTCATTAGTCCCAGCAGGACCGGCGGGTTCCCAAAAGAAGGGCCACTTCATGTTGCGATGTGTCCTCCAGTGCCAGCTATCTTCACACCAGTATTGGCGATTGCGATATCCCCCTTCTTGGACGAATTGGTAGTACTCTCCATTGGTGATCATGTGTTCACTCGCTTGGAATGGAGGAACTGAAACATTTCGTTCGCCGTACTCATTGTCCCAGCCAAAACTGGGAAAATCAGCGGGTTTGCCCAGATCAACAGCCCCCTGGTTGACCGGGATCATTTTATTGGGTGGGTAGTCCTTCCCTTCCACGGGGTTGGACGTGACGGGAGGATAGCTCTTTTGTTCGGTAGCCGAAGGATGCATTGGTGGCCAGTTTGTGGGTGTTTGAACCAGATGGTAGGGTGCCTCGCGAAAGAGCACCGAGCTGGTTTCGAAATGGATCCGTTCATGTTCGAATCCCAAAAAGAGGGCCCACATGGGATGGGATTGGTCCACTTTAACACCTTCCTCGCCTGCAGCAGGTTCCAAACTAGGATGATTCATAATGGCATCGACTACAGTTTCGTAGACTTTTTTCTTGTATTCATGAACTTCCGACACAATAGGCCACAACATGTCATTCTTATGCATGTCATCCCATAGCATTTCATCCACACCAACCTCAAAAATGGATTCAAAATAGGGATTGACAGGTTTGTCCAAAACTCCACTGACCCGAAGTTTGTTGACATACAAACAGGCCGTATGGCCGTAGTAAAAAATTTGAGGATGGCGCAATCCATGGACAGGAGGACGGTAAAAGTACTCCTCGCCATTGAGCCCCGCAAAGAGGGTTTCATACAAAGTCCAGCTGTTGTCGAAATATTCCTTGGCGGCATGGCGCGTCACACAACTCAAATTGGGGAGAGGAAGAGAGCGGATTTTGCCCTTGGCGTCGACGCCTATAAAATGGAATAAAACAAATTACGAATATCAGCAAACCAGCAAAGACCATGTCATTTCGATGGGGGTACTTCTGTAGCTAAACAAGAATTCAATCCTTACCAGGACAATCACGGGGATGAATACCCGTAAACCACTCATCCTCACGAGGCCCGGTCAACCACTCATTGTCGTCTCCACGACCAAGGTTGATCATCCAGGCCTCTTCATGGGACAACTCGGCAGAAGAAGCAGAGGTGGCCCGAAGCTGGGCAGCCGCCGCCAATCCTTTGGTGCGAACTTCCAAATCGTCCTGGTCATCCGAGTCTGTGTCATAGACAGCGGCGGCACGAGACGACTTCCAACGACGACGAAAAATCGGCGAACGAGGAGTCCAAAGAGACTTCGTCTCGGGAGCAACAACAGAAGCATCCACCAACGACGATGACTTGGAAGAAGCAGTAAGGAAAGCGCGACGACCACCCAAAGTGGAACTGCCGGTGAGGACTGTTCCAATCTTACGACGGGAGGTCGTAACCAGGCCCATGCGACAAGCAGAAGGAGATATCATCATCTTGAAAGAATCAAGGAAAAGGCAGCAGGAAAGATTGATTGGCTTTTACTCGGATCCAAAAAGCAATTTTGTGACTTTCCGCTCGGCAAACATCCAAAGAGCAAACTGCCGATCTTTTCTTTCAACCCGCAACACGTGGATCACACTACTAGAAATCGCGAATAAAAAAACTCTACCGATTGCTTGGTTCATGGACAACTCTTTTAAAATTCAAAAATCGCCTTTTCGCCAGATTGTCCGCCTACAAGATGATTGCTTCCACGGGGTGCAGGTACCGTACCGATGGTACCGGGCACCGGTACCTGTATTGGTACCGTATGCCCAGTTGCAGCAAAGTGAAGTTGACATGCGGTCCTACCCCGATCGCAATACTCTAGCTAGCTAGTAGCTGGAGTAGCTTTCAGTGAAAATGCCCATATCTAAGCCAAAACTCAACATACAACATTCAATGTTTCTTGTTTCAAACTCTTTGTAGAGAACTCAGAACCAACAATTAACTATCTATTGTTACTATGGCCTCTTTGCTGTCCGAAGCTACTGCTGTTCTCCAACGGCTCTCACAGCTTCTGGCCAAAAGAAGTGGTCCAAGCCCCACACTGTGGTTCGCTCCGTTGTCTCTGCTCGCCTGAGCATTGCCCTCGCTAGAGCCGCCACGATGTGCCTCTGTGGCTCTCGTGTTCCTGCCAACACTATGAGCTCACGTCATTGGGATGATCGTGGTGCTCTTGATCTCTACCTGAGCTTCGGGACCAAGAATATAATCAGCAGAAACAACAAACGGGGCAAAGTGGCGGCGTTGGGAGAGACAGGCCTGGAGGTAATTGCGTTTCTTGTCATGTTCACCATTGCAAAGGACCTTATGAGGATCCTTGCAACTATGAGAAGCAGCATCAAGATTGACGAGTAGCTTTACGGGTACCACAGCCCACGAGTAAAACTATCATTTATCTTTTTTCTTTTAGATAATTTCAGAAAATTCTTTGGCAAAAAAAATTCAAATTATCCAAGCGCACGGTAGACACTATAACCCATGACGACCGAGACCTGGATTTGAGCAGCCAATCAAAGTAATCAAAGTGCCTGAAACAAAGACTCATCAGTGACAACGGAAGATACGCGAACCCCCTCGAACACAGCTATTCGCGGAGAAACAGCAACCACCTCCAAATCCTGCTCGAGCCAAGGTCGTCAGCTGGTGCTTGGTTGAAATCAAGTCCTGTGAGATGGAAGTGTGACGGGGTGAACGAAGTCAATGGAACGTTGCACGGGAAGCTCCTACCTACACAAAATCGCTCTAAAGAGGAGCTCAGGCAGCAAGGCAATGACGAACACATTCGAAAAGAGGAAATGGTACAGATTTGACACGACGAATCCGACCCAGAAGCCCAACGCTTCCACCACAGATGCCGTCAAGAAATCGAATCTGTTCCAATGAAGTGCATCCCCAAAAGAACAATTTCTTGGTTCATTGTGTACAGGTTTGGCCATGGCATGAAGTCTTTGGATAGTATCAGGTTGAAGGGATATGCAGCAGGGGCTGGAGCGTTAGAGGTGCTGTGGAAGGGCAGCTGCTACGTACATGTATATAGACAAGATCCTCTACGTGCATGTACGTTGTTCCTGTCATTGCTACTATATGGCTAGTATAGCGGCGGTGTACAACATCTTCCCTTCGTTGGCAAGAGTACACCATCTGGGTGGTGCTTTCGTTCTTTCCCAAAAGACCTTCCCTTCTGGTCTGCCCCCCTTGGGCTTGACTGTAAAGCCTCCTTTCAGCATTGACTTGCACAGCAGATCCTGCCTCTTGCAGGAAGGAAGATTGGTAGGTGTGATCATTTGTGATGCATCTCTTTGGTTGCAGCATTAGTTTTAAGGGCTGGCAACAAGACAAGCACATAACTTTAGCTGGGCAGGGATACTTTTCGTTAACTGGCTGCTTTCCCACACAGATGATTAGCTCTGTATCTTTATGCGTTCTTATCATCTATGAATGATGCAACGCTGCCATTCCCCTGGCAGGTTGGATAAACAGTTCATCTTTGAGACTGCTCTACCTTTCATTGCTGATAGACTGAATTGTTATGTCAACCAAGGCAGCATTTATGGCATTGATATGGTCAGTTGACAACGGTGCTTGTGCAGCTCCAGTGCTGCTGCATGTGCAAGAATTTGCAGTCTCATACACATCGTTTTGCTGGTATATGGCTGAGTCATCAATCCATTCACCACACGGACCTGAACAACGGAACTCAATCTCACATGAGAGCGTACCAGAGAAGTCAGACTCCACATCACTGTATTCACAAGAGATAGCCTGGATCCTTCGCTTGAAAGGGTCACAAAGCTGTAGTGCAAGCTGTTCATATGTTTCCTCAAAAACTCTTTGTACCCTTCTTGCCACTGGCCTGCCTGTACATTGGCTTTGTAGGCGTCTATTCCGTACTAACTCAGTTGGCATATCTGTTTCGGGCACTGGAGTTGGCTCAGGGGTGTCTGGACCGCTGGTTGGCATGTCTGTTTCAGGCACTGGAGTTGGCTCGGGTGTGTCCGGACTGCCTGTTGGCATGTCTGTTTCTGGCACTGGAGTTGGCTCAGGGGTGTCTGGACTGCTGGTTGGCATGTCTGTTTGGGGCACTGGAGTCGGCTCTGGTGTGTCTGGATTGCTAGTTGGTATGTCTGTTTGGGGCACTGGGGTTGGCGCTGGAGTCTCAGGGGTGCTTGTTGGCATGTCTATTTGGCCCCCTGGTGATGGTTCTGGAGTCTCAGGGGTGCTAGTTGGCATGTCTGTTTGGGCCCCTGGTGACGGTTCTGGGGTGTCTGTTGTGCTGGTTGGCATGTCTGTTTGGGTCCCTGGTGATGGTTCTGGGGTGCCTTGTGTGCTTGTTGGCAAATCTGTTTGGGGCACTGGAGTTGGTTCTGGGGTGTCTGCTGTGCTGGTCGGCATGTCTGTCTGGGGCTCTGCAGTTGGCTCAGAGTTGCCTGGAGTGGAGGTAGGCTCGGAGTTACCTGGAGTGCTTGTTGGTGTGTCAATCTGGGGGTCTGCAGTTGGCTCAGAGTTGCCTGGAGTTGAGGTAGGTTCAAAGTTGCCAGGGGTGGATGTTGGCATATCGGTCTGCGAGACAGCTGTTGGTTCAGGGGTGAATCGAGGGTTTCCTCCGAACTCCCCATCGTCAGTTCCATCATCAGTTCCTCCATCATCTGTGTCGCCTCCATTATCATTTCCTCCGTCGTCTGTGTCTGTACCATCATCAGTTCCTCCGTTGTCTGTGTCGGTACCATCATCAGTTCCTCCATCATCTGTGTCACCACCATCATCAGTAGCTCCATCATCAGTATCTCCGTCGTCTGTGTCGCCACCATCATCAGTTCCTCCGTCGTCTGTGTTGGTACCATCATCAGTTCCTCCATCAGCAGTTCCTCCATCATCAGTATCTCCGTCGTCTGTGTCGCCACCATCATCAGTTCCTCCATCATCTGTGATTGTGCCATCGTCAGTTTCTCCATCGTCTGTGTCAATCCCATCATCAGTTGGTCCATCATCGGTTGGTCCATCATCAGTCTCGAAGTCGTCGAAGTCGTCGGTTCCAGGAAAGCCATCATCAGTTGGTCCGTCATCAATCCCAAAATCGTCGGTTCCGGGAAACTCATCATCAATCCCAAAATCGTCGGTTCCAGGAAAGCCATCGTCAGCCCCAAACTCGTCATCCACAAACTGCACCCCAATGGCCGTATCATCGACAAAGGCTGGGTCATCCGCAAACGGCGTTTCATCGTCCACAAAAGGACCAAGCGTATCATCATCTTCAGCATAGACGAAATCATCCACAAACAAATCTATGAGCGAGTCGTCATCAAAAAACTGCTCGTCCCCGCGGCCAGCAGCAAAGTTTCCACCTTCGTCATCATCGATAAAACGATCATCAGCAAATTGATCATCAAAGATAGGGTCGTCGTCAAAGTTGTTTGGATCTTCTGCATCATCATTGAATTCATTGTCATCTCCATTTCCTGTCTCCTCTTCTCTCTCAGGACACACTAGGGATTCAACACTTTGATAGCTCATCTCCAGTGACACTCTATATGTGCTTCTTTGATCAGAGCAGCTGACAAGGGGGGTTAGGAACTCAATGCTTTGGGCTGTGGTATCAGCTCCAACAGAAATGAGCTGAGAGTTCATGTTGGCCAGGAATTCGACATCGCTTAAGCTCCCATCCCCTGAGAATGCCCCATTTTGCAGGCTTCTCTCAGACACCGCAAGAACTTCAGCAACAACGTTGGCATCTGTTCCACTATTTTGTGATTCATCCAGTAGAAAAACATCAACAACTTGAGCGCTGCAGATGTCAGTCCTGAGCGAATTGAAGGACTCTAATATAAGATCTCTTTTTTCTTCATCAGACAAGGAGTCCACATTGCCATCAAAGAAGAGTCCATACACATCAGTGATTTCTCTGACCTCTTTGTCACAGGCACTTTGTTGCACAAACCATGCATAGAGAAGTTAGCCTTGGGTACCTGAAATCTTGAACAAGCTGCACCAAGAGAAACTTACGTGATATCTGAAACGCCCTCTACATTGACTAGAGTTCCTTGTGCTCTGAGATCCGTGACGGCACTGTCGTACGCTTTCGAAAACTCATCCTCTGTTGGGGCATCAGGGGCCACTGGATCTGTGTTCACTGGGCAAACACACCCAGATACTTGATTCTGTAGGCTTCTTCTAACTTCACCGTTAGCACTTACAACATGCTCAAGAATTCGATCCCTCCGAAATGTGTCATCGAAGAGTCCAAATGTTCCTGCATGAAGTTGACACACAAATCTCAGCACACATGTTGCAGTCACTTGGGATCCACCACGGTTCACCTACCTGCATTTGTAACTGGGCAACCTCTATGAAATTGACAACCGAACTGATTTTAGCACGAATAACACAGACACACTGGATCAAGCACCATTCACCTACCTGCACTGCCCTGTTATCGAGTAGAGAGCACGATCTGACCGATCCACTGTGCTTGTCGTGGAATTGACACCAGTGGCATTAGATTGCAACTGTCTTCGCCCAACTGATTGTACACTTGCTGGGACAAGTGTGACATCTAGAATGTTGCGAAAAAGTGAATCACACCTCAGGAAAGAAAGCTCGTTGTATGACTCCTTGAACGCCTCCTCAAGAGCAGTTTTCTCTTCTGGTGTCAATAACTCCAGATCGCCTTCCAAGCTCACAACAACTTTTGATTCAAATTGCTGCACATCATCGCTGCAGTCCACAGGCTTTATCTCAATAACTTCCTCTACTGCTTGTTTTTCATTTAGAGCTCCAAACTCTTGAAGGTCGACAATGGTGCTGTTAAAGGAAGCCAGGAATTCTTCCGTCGTTGGTGCCCTTCCTTGAGAAGGGAATGTGGCAGAGCAACGGCATGGAGATGTACTGTTTCGAACCAAGTCTTCTCCTGCGGCAAGCCTTTGGACCAACGAAGACTTTAAGGCAGACTCTTGTACCTCTACCTGATCCGATGCCTGCGAAGAGTTCGTAAAGAGGGTTGAATCATTGTCACAGTCACGACATCCAACAGCCACCACTAGTCTCAAGAGGTTGTCATCGCCAGTCCCGTCAAAGACTTCATAGACTTCTTGTGATCGTCTCCTATTCTGGTCAGGGTCAAGTTTCACCCTGAGAACTCGTCGGTAGTGCACCGTGTCGCAAAAAAAGAAGTTGAGACTATTGTAAGTCTCTTCAAACCCGCTTCTGATTTCTTCACGTTCTTGGGCCGACAAAGAGGTCACATTCTGCTTCAGCCTCAAGTACACCTCTGTCTGAAAGGCAAACTGGTCCCGGGGGCAAGCTAGCTCTTTGACCTCTACAACCTGAAGAACGGTTGGGGAAGCGCTTTGCATTCTGCGCCGACCTGAGCCCACGTTCAGCGCAGAAGCAAATTCCGTTTCGGTCGGTGAACGTGATTGCACGAGAGCAGTAGTCTTTGGGCAATAGCACATTTCAGTCAAGCGCTCGAAACCACCGCCGCCAATGGCCGACAGGTTCAAATAGGGGAAGTCGACAGCTGGCTCGTTTGTCCAGCTAAAAAGAGGAGTGCCCTCTAAGCAGCTCCTGCATTCGTAGGCTGCGTTCACCGTGAGGACGGATGAGGTAGCCGCCGTTGCCACCTCATCGCCAAGAACTCGGAAGCGCAGAGCAGTGCGAAAATGTGGATTGTCGCAAAGGGTCTCAAAGTTCAAAGCGTTGTATATGACAGCCATCGTCTGCTCTAGATCGGCGAAATATGTGTTTGTTTGGTTCACTGACGGTGCATCATCAGGACTTGTACTGACTTCGACAACCAATTTTGTGGAAGTCACCGTCGTGCTGTTCCCGCAGTTGAATGCGTCTAATTCAAGCACTTCGTCGACCTCATCGATGTCACTCACATCCAGAAACCATGTGAACGCTTCACGGAACGCACTGGCAGTGGCAGCGGCACGGTCACCAACCCGACCGACTGGACAAAAACAGCTGCCGGGGGGAAAGGACTGGATGTTTTGGTTAAAACTGCTCCCAGAAACCAGGAAAGGTGTAGGAGTTGATGTTTCCTCTCCAAGGCTAAACAAGCCAGAGTCATTTCTGGTACAATCATCACCACGACACTCAAATTGTACAGTCACCCTCATTAACCGCTCCGTGTCAAACCGTGCTGAAAAGGGCTGCCTTCCTAGCCAGGTCGTGTAGTTTCCTTCGTCTACAATCACGCTGGTGGCTCGGCGAAAGTATGGGTCGCAGGCGTCAAAGAGAAACTCATTGTAGGACGTTTGGAAGGCTTCCGCTAGCTCTTGCCTGGCTTCGTCATCCAAGTCATCCAGGTCACCGGTTACTTGCAAAAAGATGGTCGATTGCAAGCTGTCTGCTGTTGCTGAACAAGCGAATTCCTTGACTTCAATGAACTGTCCTATTGACTCGATACTTTCGACAATATCAACGTCGTCTAGATCGTCGAGTTCGTCCGAGAACGTCGACTGGAACAATGTCGTACTGGGTGCTCCTGAAGCATTGACATTCCTTGCCGAACAAAAGCAAGCCGATTGTTGTCTCCCTTGCGCCTGTGCCAGTAGTGACGGTTCGATGTTTACCGACAGGGACGTCACGGATGAATGCTGCTGCTGTGGTGCTTGCTGTTGAAGGTGCCTCCGTCTTGACACGGGAAGACTATTGGTTGTAGCATCAAACAACGAGGTAGTGTCCAGAGGACATCCGTGGCAGTTGGCTTGGGCCGTGAACTTGATAACCTTGGAGCTGTTAAAGCTTGAAGCACCACCACTTCTGCAACTTCTGCTGCTGGAACTACAGCTGAGACGTCGCCTCTGCTTTCTTCTCGTTCGCTTGTTGTGTCTTTGTCGGGCAGCCGCTGGTGGCTTGCTTATTGTCACGTCCTGCAGAGAGCGAAAGTATTTGTCATCACACTGATCAAAGACTAGCTGATTGTAGGTTTGTGCAACTGCCCTCTCCAATGCCACTTCTTCCTCCTCAGTGAGGTCATTAGGTTCCCCATCATCAACCTCCATGAGCAGGACTGTTGGAAACGTGCTCGCAGCACTACAGGCGAGTTCCTTAACCTCCACCAAACTGGATACGGTGTAGTTGGTGGATGATGCCCTGGCTGTTGATGATGATTGCAGCATGTCATTGATTTCCTCCATCCAATCATCCTCTTCGGGCCCATTGCGACCTCTTCGTCTTCGTTTACTGGCACAGTAGCAGGGATTACGCCCTGATCTCTTCCCCAGTTCCCTTTCCTTATCATCTTCGTGGGTTGCTTTCTTCTTGGAGGCTTGAAATTGTCTCAATTGTCGTTTCCGCCCCCGTCGGTCGTCGCCGCTGGATGATGAACTCGAAGGATACTCGGGCATTTCCCCAAACAGTGGGCCACCCTTGTTCCTGGAACACCCATCGCAGTACCCAGCAATGACATAGCGTACGGTAAACCACAATGTCCTTTCCCGAACATTTGTGAGGGTATCTCGATCGACTGCCACCTGTGTGATATTGCGAAACTGGGAATCACAGATATCTTCCGATAGATCATTGTACGTTTTCAGCATGGCTAGTTCCAAGGCCGCAAAATCGTTATCTGTGATTGCTTGACCCGTAGAAGAAGTTCCATCATGCGTCAGCAACAGACTGGTTTCATATTGCTCTGGATTGGTCTGAGGACAGGAATAGCGTCTGTGAGGATCTTCTTCCTGCAAATCTCGGTGGTGATGATGAGAATGTCGACCCTTTATTCGAGCACCTTCCGACAGAGACAAAACAAGCCATAGAAAAAGTTGTTGGGCTGAGAATCTCATTTTTCTTTTTTCTTTGTGGCAAAACTGCCCACAAGGTTGTTTGGAAATGTAGTTGTGCTCGTTGGTGGCTCCTGGGTTTGTTGGTGTGACTATGGTGGGACTGCACTGGCTTTCCTAAGGCTACAAGAATTTGGCTATAGCCATATTGGCATCGTTCTTCCGCACAAATTGGGATGTTGTTTCATGTGTCTGAGAGGCTACTACGGCACAAGGCAAGGTCTTGCAATTCGTACACAAGACTCCACTGCCTGCCTCATCCTCATTTTTTCCAGGTTCTCCTGTGGTCACAAAATAGTCAAGTGGGGTCACAAGTTGCCAAGTATTTTCCGTAACTGGTGGGAATAATGACCTACTCCTACCAGGTACCGGTACATTGCATAGCCCTGGTGTTTCATACAGCTCAGCTAGCTAACCATTTTTCTCGGTCCACAGAACATAAAAGGCTTGGTACAGAAAGTACAGCGTGACCTCCGTACCGACATCGGCCCACCGCTGTAGAGCTGTGGTACACTACCGCGGTAGAGGATCGTATTGGATTAGCCAATCAGAATGGTTCGATATTTAAATTTCGATGACGTCAGTCGGCTGTGACGTCAGTCGTGCACACGATTCAATATTTCGCTTTCTCTGTGTCAGCTCGATCAGTCTCTCGTCGTGTTGTTTTCCTGTTGTTTTCGTGTTGTTTTCGAAAGACCGACGGAGCATGCATCCAGAGGATTTCGAATTTGAGCCAGATAGTGAAGCAAGACAATAAAACCGAGGTCATCCCTTCCGTATTCAGTAGCCGCAGAGGTACTTCGCAGAGGTATACTTACCGCATTCAGTAGCCGCAGATTCAGTAGCCGCAGAGGTACTCCTCACCGCAGCCGAGGACATAGCCGCTTTCATCGCAATCCTCCGAAGACGATGAGTGCGAGTACGAAAGAGGCGCCGGCTGGTATCGACCACTACATCCGGGACCTGTACTCCAGTGGACGGTTCCCCAAGGTGGACGACAACGGCATGGTGTTCTTGGCGGCTGTTGGCAAGATAGGAAGGGCCAGTCCCAAATTACGAATTTCTTTGGGAACGGCGTTGACAAACGATGGAAGGCAGAGCAACAGTCTCTAGCAGCCATGGAATTTGACCTCCCGGCTCACACTCTTCTTTATGCCTGAGATATTTGACCGCAGCATCCTGGAAAAGCATTCGAGGTACAAGTTCATTGACCCAGCAACAGCCAAAGAAGGACTCAAGCATGTGTCTTTGGTTATCATAAGTGGCCTCAAGCTAGGCCAACACAGAGCAATTGCTTCCTTCAGGGGTCGCATACCAATGTACTGCTTCATCTACAAGTGTGACAATAAACAATGCAAAGGAGGGAAGGCTCTGCTGCAGTGCTTTGAGGGCAAGCCAGAAGACCATGTGTTCCACTCCCACTAGCTAGCTAGCTTGGTGGTTGGGCCCCAAGGGGCCCAATCTTTATGGTTCAGAGCCCCCTACGGGGGCTCAACCTTTATAGTACTAGCTTAAAAAAATTTCGCTACAAGCTAGCTAGCTAGCTAGTACCGGTAGTAGCAAAAGAGGGGCCCACCCAGTTGTAAAAGGGGGTCTAGCTAGAGCTCTGAGGGACGATATCTACCAAATGGAAGCCGAGTATTGGACGGCCGTACCGGTACCGGTACCCGGTATGGCATATATGTGCAGTTCTAAAAAACAGATTAGAAGAACAAACTTGAGACTCGGCAATTTGAGAGCTGAATATTGGTAAGGAGCAGGAGCAGTGAGTCTTCATCAATAAAAATTTGTCAGGGGCAAGTTGTTGCTGCATAAGGGTTTGAGCTTGGGTGCAAACATGGCATCGCTCCACAAAGGCAACAGCCAATTGGATGGAATGATTTTACAGTGTGATTTCAAGTGACCCGGCAGTTTTAGGCTGCCGTTGTCCTTGGGCTTGTACGATACTAGGACCGGTAGGACTCCCATGGTATTTCCACTGATAATGCATTTCCAATCTTCCCACCCCTTCTGCTTTTCTATCTTCCAATTGTTATCTTTTTTCACATGTCCAGCTAGCTAGGTGCTGCAAGGGGGGGTTGGTTTGATGTCCTAATGCTTTTTTTTTAGGGGTCAGCCTATGGGGGTATGGCTGTGCCGAAATATCTAGTTGGGGGGGAGGAAGAAGGATAAGGATTGAGGAATAAGATCCAAAACCTTCCGCTTTTCACACTAACTTCACAACAGCATCCGTCTTCCTCGATGAACAGCCTCTTCATCTTGGCTCTCTTTGTCATTCTACTCGTACCATCAATCACAACGACGATAGGCAGCGTCGGTGTCTACAGCTTTTCAGTTCTGCTGAAGAGGCGCTTGTCAAGCCCCAACTGGGCTCGAACTTTTCTCTCGATGAGTGCTAGTAGTAGCAACAATGCCAATGACAGTGATACATGTAGTAGTCCGGTTGTGAAGAGGCGGACCAGTCCACGCAAGAGGACACCCGTAGCTTCTGTTGAGGATTCCTCCTTGTTGGCAAAGAAATCCAAAACCAAGGCTACTGAAGCTACCGAACCTTCTTCTTGCTCGGATTCGAGTTCAAGAGGACTTTATCAGCAATGGATCTCGCACAATGACGCCGCATTCCATCATTTTACACCCGAGGAAGCTGTCCAAATTCGACAAGCTCTACTCGCATGGTACCGACAACACCGCCGCAAACTACCGTGGCGTGGAGATGCACCACCCTTTGATGGATCCACCAGCAACACTAACACAAAGAAAGATTCGGCTACATATAATCAAAATGCCACACAAATTCCGCCAACGCCATATGGCGTATGGGTCAGTGAAATCATGCTGCAACAAACACGCGTCGAAGCCGTCATTCCCTATTGGATTCAATGGATGGAATCCTTTCCCACCATTGAAGCATTAGCCGACGCCACGGAGGAACAAGTCAATGCCCATTGGGCCGGATTGGGGTTTTACCGCAGAGGACGAATGCTCCATCAGGCGGCGCAATATCTCGTTGCAAACAACAACAATGACAACCAACCAGTACAGCTCCCACAGACAGTGGCCGAACTACAAAAAATACCGGGAATTGGTCGGTACACGGCCAGTGCGATTGCGTCCATTGCCTTTTCCCGCCAAGTGCCCGTCGTCGATGGCAATGTGTGTCGTGTCCTGTGTCGATTAAAAGGAATTGCCAATCACATCAAGGCACCCATTCTCAAGGATAAATTGGGATGGGAATTGGCACAACAGCTCGTGGAAGGCAGCAGCAATGGTGATGCCGGAGAAATCAATCAGGCACTCATGGAACTGGGAGCCACCTATTGTGCGCCCTCGGGAACGGGCATCGAGCCAGGAGATCCCTTGATTGAATTCTATCTGTCCACCAAACTGGGCGAGGCATTCTTGTACGAGCAACAACAACAAAACAACAACAACAAGGACGTGACAATAATCCCCAACAAGAACAACAGCAAAAAGAAAGCCTGTCCCCTCTGCCATGAAATGGGGGTCTCGGATGTGGTACAACAATTGGCCGCTTCCATGGAGGCCGAGGACGTCACAACGGTGGACGCGGCTCGTCGCTGTGGTCATGCGGCATTTCCAACTCCTCCACCCAAGCTGTCCAAACGAGAAGAAGTTCTAGCCGTGGCAGCCATCCAAAAAGCCACATCAAAGGATGAAACCTATTGGCTGTTGGTCAAACGTCCCAAGAAGGGTCTCCTAGCTGGTCAGTGGGAGTTTCCATCCGCTAGTGTTTGGAACAGTAGTAGTAGTGACGACCACAAGAAGAAAAAGACCAAGCAGCAACCTGCCAAGGCGAAAAAGGAGGTGCCATCCATTGCAACGAACGTCAGGCGCAAGGCGCTCAAGACCTTGTTGGCTGATCTTGTGGACGACACGGCATTTCATGGACTGGAGCAACAGAAATTGGCAACTTTGAAGGGTGCTCCGCTGGAACACGTCTTTAGTCACGTCCGACATACCATGTACATTGAATACACCACTCTCAATAATAAGCAGGAGAAGGTCGACTCTACGAGTTGGACAACGTCGTCGGGAAAGGAATGTCGTTGGATGCGAAACGAGGACATGGCAGAAGCAGGTGTCACATCCGGGGTCAAGAAGATTCTAAAGGCCGTCACAGCGGAACAAACCAAGACACAAAAGAAGGAAAGCTTCTTTCAGCCACGGAAACGGAAAAAGTAAAACACTCACATTAGCTCAGAGTTCTTTGCCTGCTTGGCTAGCTAGTTAGCAATGTCATAAGTCTTTGTTGAGTTCAGGTATGGCTCAATCTTGGTCTATTGGCTTGACGCCCAGCTGTTTTCGAGATTCATCAATCAACTTGGCATTGGAATACGTCTCGGCATGTGTGAATTGTGGTACTTCCTTCTTGCCAGCAGCAATGCACCTGGCCACAGCCGCGGCTTCGTACATGAAGCCTGCACTATTGGGATACACAAATCCACCGGTGGACTTGATCTCTTCGGTTTCTTCCGGCAGCGGATAATCAAATAGAGTTTCTCCCGCATGTTGTCCTCTTCCGGCTGCCTTTAGCGTCAAGCGCACCTTGGTCGGGCAGTGGGCTGGAGTTTCAATCACCAAGCGACCTTTGGTTCCAATGACCGTTGTTTGTTCTTCACTTTCTCCAAGGAATCCATAGCTGCACATGGCCGTTCCAGCACTGGTTGCATACACAATATTCAAAACAATGTGTGTGAGAAGGCTTTATGATCACGTTGAGGGTTGAGATCCTTTTGTTTTTTCTGCACACTTACCCTGGTAGCTTGGCAGTATTCTCATTCTTGTTTTCTGGATCCAATGCCGGAGGCATTGTGCTAGTTGGTGGGAATGTCATGATGAGAGCACCCTGCAAGTCGACTCCTGTTTTTTCATCCACCTGCCCCACCGCTTTGATGGTATCTGGCTGGGCCCCACCAAAAAACAAGGTTGCTGCCGCAAAGGGATAGGGAGCCACGAGATAGGTAGCACCCCCACCGAGTTTTCGGTTGTAAAAGAAGGAAGTAGGGTAATCGTCTGAATCGGATGCATTAAAGTTGAATTCTGTAATGACCGAAACAACTTCCCCAAGCACACCAGCTTCTCCTTTTCCATCACCAAAGACCAGACGCCGCGCTTGTTCCACAGCAGGGAAAAATCTCGTCCACATGCCCTACAAATAAAATAATAATAACCATTGGCAGTAGGTAGCCCTGTTGTGAGATATTGTTGATAATAGGAAAAAGGCCCAGATCATACCACCTGTCCATACAACACAGTAGAATACCCTACCTCCATGATGAAAAGATTTTTCTCCTTGGCCAAATCCAGCAAGTATTGGGTATCTTCTGGGTTACAGGCAAAAGGCTTTTCCAAGAGAACATGCTTGTTTGCTTGAAGGCATTTTTCTCCAATCTCTCGTCGAAAGACATGCAAATTTCCAACATAGACACATTGGACCTCTTCATCCGCCAATAACTCATCGTAGCTGCCATCTGTAAAAAGGAACGAAAGAAAGAATTTGTCAGCCCCCACGTCCAAGCAACTTCTCCTTAAAAACATACCACTGCAATGACGACATGCCAATTTACGTACACGACTTTTTAATTTTGTGTTTCTGGGCAAACTCGGCCGCTCTCGCGGCATCTCGTGCCGAACACGCCACCACTTGAGCGGATGGCAGATGTTTGAGGGCTTGTGTAAAGTCCTGGCAAACTCTGCCACAACCAATCAAACCCCAACGGAGCGGAGGACATTCCAGAGGATCCGATAGCGATGGATCATCGAACGGGGGAGGAGGAGTAGACGCCATGTTTTAGTTTTAAAATTGTTGACAAACAAAGAAAGAAAATGATGGCTTTTGGGTTTTTCTTGATGGTGTGTGGGACGGGATGGGTTGAGCCTCCTTGCACCATCCATGCATCCAAGGCCATACTGACGTCATTGAACCTGAGGTTTTCAATCGATTTGAATCGAATCGAATAGAATAGAATAGAATCGATTGTTTGTCAAGGTCATTCAGTCGTGTCGAATTGAATTGGTATTCATTCGAACGGGATCTTCGATTGGATCTTTGTGTTCCCACGGAAGGTGGGGCCAGAACATCCAACGGAAGATGGAAGTCTCAGCCAAAAGAACCCGAACAATCTTTTTTTAGTACTGTAGTCTACAGTATTCCGTGAAACACCACCTTTGCTCACAAATCTTTCCTCATCGAAGTTGTTGCAGTTTCAATGGATGAAGGGGCGAAGACCTTCAATATTCAATTGGCTCCGCAGTGATCTTCCAAGCCAGAAGCAGAGTACAAGATACAAGAGACCCAGATCCAGCTACCTACTTACCGAGTAGCTTAGCTAGCAAGCTGGGACAATGTCAGAGTCCAAGCAGGAGGAGTATGAAGAGCAGGAACGCAAAGTCTCCTTTCGCAGCAGCGAGTTGCGGCATCGCAAGCCTCGAAATGTCGCTACCATGGTCATGCAAATGAACCGTGAAAGCAAACGGAATTTGTTTGATGAGGATGACAATCACAATAATAATACTAATCTCCTAGACTCGACGAGGAGAACCTCGGCTGCGCTGATCCGTTCCCGGTCAAACGAGCAAGGACGACGACGACAGAAAGCTCATCGGCGCTATTACTCGGCCTTTAATGTCCCGTACCATGAAGATGCTGCCGCCAACGATACTCCTTCCGAACTGGCCGATACATCCATTCCGCTCTTTGGGCCTTCTCAAGCTCCCACGTCCAGTCTGCTCAACCATGCCCAACACTTGGAGAATTTGTTTCAAACACCGGCTCGTGGTTTTAACGACCTATTGGAGCCCTATAGTTCGCCCTTTTATGGAACGGAAATCAGCTATCACAGCCAGAGAAATCGTCGCAGTATCACCGAGGAGGAGACGGAAGGTGATGACGACGACGACGACAGTGAGGATGATATTTCAGATGTCAGTTCTCAAGATGAGGAGAAGCAGGATGTCGAACAAGGAAATCAAGTGCCGCAAGAAAAGACTCGATTGATTGAAACTACAACAACATCCAAACGACGAAAATCGTGCTGTTGTCGACTGACCCGCGTATGTCGGGCATTTGTGCAAGTGGTCAAACCGGAAGAAGTATTGACCAACATTCATCACTTTCTGTCCACCACGTTCTTGCTATTGATTGTGCCCTGTCTCATTGCCGCCAGCATTTTATATTATTCCCTCGACAATCCCGATTTGGAATTCTTACCCACTCAAGCCAGGCTCAGTTGGTTCATGTTGTTCATTGTACGTCTCTCCGTCACATTTACGTTGGCGCGAATGACACAGTGGATGTTTGAAGTCTTGACCATGCGCACGACAATCTTTGCCCGAGCTTGTGGCCCCTTGTTTGCATTAGTCATGATGCAATCCATGGGATGGCCATTGCTGGCGTGTTCCTGGGGTTGTTGGAATTTGATAATCTTGCATGGAGATTCCAATTTTGTCAAGCATTGGTTCTACTGGACGGGGATCAAACTCTTCTCCATTCAATTCAACCGAGGCGATGGCATTTTGGCATCCGAACTCTACGGACGATTCCTGGCCGCCATAATTCTGCTGGGTGTCGCGGCGGCAATCAAACGAACCTTTGTGGCGCTATACCTTTCCAGGCGCATGTTGCAGCATTACAGAGGGCAGCTGGAAAAGGTCATGAGTCAAGTCAAACTCGTTATGGAAGTGACGGAACTTGCAGCACAAACGGATGAACCGAGCTTTAATGAGCGATTGTCCAAAGTGATCAATGAAGGCGGTTCGGCAGCAGAGGTAGTAGATCGAAGCAAACGGAACAAGTTGGTGGAGACGGTCCCCATGTTTCAGCAGCAGCAGCAGCAACATAACAATCCACAAAAGGCCAAAATCACCAAAAAGCCTTCGTCCGAAGGGATTGGCGACAAAAAGACTGAAGATGGCGAATCCGACGATGACGATGATGACGACGACGACGATGATGATGACGACGACAATGGAGGTGATGAAGTGAACATCGAGCATCTTCAGCAGACCGTGCTCGATGCTCAGAATTCAGGAATGAACGCAAAAATGAAGTGGAACATGTTAAAGGAACGAGCATTGAACGATCGCTACACAATGAACTTTAACGGAGATGAGGTGTCGACAGCCGGCAGAACTTCTGCCGCCGGTAGCACAGGGGAACGATCCACAGCCCGCAAGAATACACTCAAAATGATCTTTGACGGTCTCGAGCGATGGCCGGAACCAGAAGACAAAGGGCGCAAGAACACTGCCTCGTCCCTCCACGATATCTTGCAGTTCAGGAAGGCCATGGCCTTTATGGAAACCCAATTTCCCTTCTCCGAAAAGTTTGGGCCCGTCGCCAATCGTAAACAGTGCGTGAAGAATGCAATGAAGGTCTACAAGCGACTCTTACGCTTCACACCAGGCCAACAAACGCTTTCCTTTGATGTCATTGGTGCACTGGCGTTTCGAGACGACCAGACGTTGGATGAAAACAGGGCGATTGCCTTGCTGCGTGTCTTCCTCCCGGACAAAAATGAAGCGTTGACGATGTTGGCTTTTGTGAATTCAACTGATAATGTGTACAAGCAGCTTCGGTACCTCCGAGCTGCTCTCAGCAATTCCTCCAAGATTGATTCCGTGTTGGAAGACTCATTCAATGGAGTCTTCTATGCCGTGCTGGCTGTGATTCTATGTAAGTACTACAGATGCAAGATTTTGTGTTTGATGGGTTTGCTAAGATCTGTTTTCCTCATTCTCTCGTCTGCGCGCCATGTGATGTCCCCAGTGTGTCTTTGTGGCTTCAACCCCTGGCCGTTGCTGGTGTCCTTCAGTACATTGACAGTGTCCTTTGCCTTTGCTTTCGGGCCCTCCGTCGCCAAGGTAAGCCACAGTTGCCTTTGGTCGATAGAACGCCCTCGGTCGTACGATCTCGTAGGCACTTTCTCTGCTGTGAATCCTGACCGTTTTTGCGCCTTCATGAATGCAGAATGTCGAGGGTGTCCTAATGATTGCGGTGAGTTATAGAAGAAGGAGTTACGATGAACACGACAGTACTTTGTTTTCCGCTTTGACTTAATTATGCTCTCCGTCATCTAGGTGAGGCGGCCGTATGATATCGGTAAGTTGGACCAGTGCTGGCGAGGGCGTCAATGTTTGATAAGGTTTTCGGCACGGCTCCCATACACCTTGGCTCATTCTTCTGCATCCACCTTTTGCAGGAGATCGCATTACCATTTCAGGTAAGTCAGGAGTCCCAGGCTCTGCTGGGCATCCTTGAAGAAATATTGTACAGGACATCCAATCAGGCTCAACCAAACTCTTGTTGTGAAGGTGCCGAATCATTGGTCAACCCTCCGTTGGCGAATAGCTGGCTTGTGGTAGGTTCGATGCTCTATCTTTTTCCACGCTGGACTTTCATTTCAATGGTCTGACGAACCAATGCTCCATGTTCTGTCTACGCATTCACAACTCAGGAGGACATTACCCTGACCACTACAACACTACGATTTGCCTCCACAAACGAAGTGGCATCACTCAATAACTCCAGTCTTGCGAGCTCTCGAATTGTCAATTGCTCCAGGTCACCGAAAGCGCAGGTCACTATCCGTATTCAATTGGACGTGGACACCAGTCAAAGAGACATCGATGAGTTCCGCAAGAGAATCGAAACGTACCTGTCGGATAACCCACGAATTTGGGTTGGTTTGATTCAATCTCGTACGGACGACATCAACAGCGATGCGGGCTACGCGACAATGATGTACCGTGCGCAACACGTCAAGCCTTGGCAAGATCTTGGACCAATTATGTCGGCTAGAGGTGAATGGCAGCGCTTTGCCGAAAACACGGCAACTGATATGGGTATCATCTATGACAGTCCACCGAGACAGATGACCATTGGAGTAGGACTTGCAGCGGAATCAAAACAAAACAAGGCAACAGAAGGTCAAAACAAAACAGCCAGTTTCATTCGCTCCCTCAGCAAAGAAAAAAGTGGAGGCCAGCATGAAAGGAAGACAACCGACGAAAGAGTTTTCGGAAGCATTTCCAAGTACATGGAGGACTCCCAACCTGCTCCAACAACGCTTGCCATGAGCGAACAGGCTGCGGCGGACTAGTTCCTTATCGCTTCTCTGAAACTTGTGTTGTTATGCAACCAATTCCTGTTTGGCATGACTGAACCCATGATTTGTACTTCGCGGACATTGCTTTGTATTACCAGAGGCATCCATCTGCCGTCTCATGTATGATTCTTTAGAAAGTGCTAAAAGACACGGAATTTCAAGCCAGCGGCCACGAACCTACACTACAGTGTTACTAGTACCGGTACTACCCGGTACCCGTAGTACATGTACCGGTACGGGTACTAGTTTAAAGTGAATTAATGGATTTACTCGTAGCCTGTGGTACAATTCCTACGTACTATTAGCAGCTCACAATTCACTTTCGAAAACGCAATGTAAATCCCTAATCGAAACATGGGGAGGTTACTTAGTGGGTTATCGTAATGTAAATGTTTAGAGTTAAGGGATGGCTCAAAACTGGCGTACTTGGATCCCATTTTCTAGTGACTGACATGACACAAATCGAAACAACAAACAACAAAGAAAGAAAACAGTTCCACGATGACAGAATGCCGCTGATTCGAAGCCTTTAGGAAGCATCTACAGCCCCCGCGACCTCAGGAGTCGTGGTAGGCTCACCATACTCGGATGCCTGGATAGCAGCTTTGAGAGCAGCCCTTGTTTGGGGATCCAAATTGGCCATATTGTGTGTCACGGCCTTCGCCATTTGCAGTGTCGCGACACCCAACACAGTGTCTTTCATGTCTACATCCACATCCAGTGCCTTCCGCAGCTCGGCCTCTTCTTCATCAGTCCATGCAACCGCCGGTGGTGGATTCTCCCCAGCCAAACAAGCAATCATGAGGTCCAGCTTTCGCTGAGAAGCCGGCTTTGGGCAAACTCGCCATTTCAACATAATCTTGATTTGAGCGACAGTAAAAGATTTTCCAATCTCTACATTGAACACTCCCCTCTCCTGAAGAAGCGCCTTTGCTGCCACTTCAGCATCATAGGCTGTAGTCTTTGCCTTCTTGTTGTCTTGGAGTGCTTTGACAGCCTCGTCACGCTCTTTGAATTTGGTGGCCTTGAAGAATTCGTCCGTGTTCATGTGTCGGCCGCCTGTGACATAGTGCATCTGCCCTGTTGTGTTTGCATTCTTGATACCATCTATCCGCGCTTGGGAATGGGTCTGAGTGACACCCACGAAAGTCTTCTTCATTGGACCATCAATTCGCAATTGAGAACCATCCATTCCACTTGACGTCAAGAACTCGCAAAAGAACCAGTTCATTAATTCCTGATTCTTCAACTTGGCGATATTGCCGGTTGGGTCTGCGTCCTCTCTAGAAGCAGCAAGCACAGATGCCGCTCTCTCATCTGGAACTTCATGTCGGACGTTTTGATGGTGGAGGGCATTTCGTGTCAATGGAGCCGCTGAACATCGTCTATTCATCCTGGCAGAAAAAGCCTCTGAGAATGCATCTCGAAGAACAACATCAGTCACTGGATCTTTGCCACTGAAAACCAATAAAGGTAAGTCACTGACTTGGAGGTTCTTGTTGATATCAAATCGAGCTTGAAACAAAGGTCTAAGGTTTTGTCTTTGTACACAGTCTTGAAGGGGCTATAGTTCTGATCTGTTTCCTGGGTAGCACCAGTTGTGTTTGGCACGCCTGGAATCAAATACAAGCCCTGCAATCGTAGATCAGCGAGCATCTCCACATTGCTCCTTCCTGGTCCACCGTCAACTTCAACAAGAACTCTCTTGCCGCGTGTGTCTTCAATGTCAGGGTATAAGGTGAGTATGGCATTCTTCATGTTCTTATCCAGTTCCACAGCATTCGTTCCGTGTTGAGCAGCAGCACGCCTGGGGAACCCCCCCGTCCGAGTTTCCACGCCCCGCAGCGTGGAAACTTGAACCCTGATGGGTTCTCGCAACTATGACCCTAATCATGGTTGCCGAGAGGACCATCTCACAATTTGCAAAATTAATTCCCACGCTCCTCACCTACAACTCAAGTACATCTCTACATCTCGCAGGTCATCACCTGCGTTCCGGAAAAAAATACTTTTTCAAGGGAAGCCGAAAACCGAAGCGCTTCCCCTCTGGATCTGTCACTACAAGAACAACAACACTAATAGCAACAAACACAACCAATCGGTCATACCTATACCATTACACTACCTATTAGCACCATTAGAAGCATTGAAACGAAGCGAAAGGACCTCAGGAAGCTGTTTTCTGTTATCTTGTTGAAGAGTACTGTTTTACTATAGGATTCAACTCAACGTCATCACGGAAAACATACATCCTTTTTTCCTCTCTTTACAACCTCTTCAAGCCGAAACGGATCGATACCTCCTATCTCCTATCAAGCGCACCTCCCCTATCAGCGACTATCAACGCGGCTTCTCCGGTTCAGATTAGAAAGCCATCCCAATTGAAATCCTACGAGATCGGCGGGTTTTCTATTCTCGACCGCCGGGCCAAGTTGGAAGAATTTGAACACAAGAAGAAGTCTCGGCCTTCCACAGCACAGACAGAAACAATTCCCATACGTTCATTGTTGCTTTCTGACTAAGCTCCTGACGGCCGAAGAAATCCCATTGTCGGCCGATCCTCTTTTTCGAATGATCGCTCCTCCTCTTCCACCAACACCAACAGGCTCGGTTAACCTTACCCCTAAGGCAACTGACTCATCGGAATCGAGAATCCGAATCGCGAATCGAATCGAATTATCGATTCGAATCCAAGACTCGCTACTCCGTGAACGATCAATCCCGCGAAACGTACCTCTTCCTCCGATACTACCTCTCCTCCGTACGATCGAACGATAGCCTCCTCTATCAAGAAGGACTTCACGAGATACCTGCGTGACCACCGAGAAGAGAATTACACCTGTATTCTTACTTTCTACCGGCCACTAGTGGTTTCTCCGACGTCCTTGTTGGAACTGATCCTACTGATCCCAATCCTATCCCTATACAGACTG